CATCGCGATGTAAAACAAAATGTCGGAAAACTTTTCTTTGACGCATGCGCATTTGCATAAATGTTTACACACACACACGCGATGTAAAACAAAATGTCGGAAAACTTTTCTTTGACGCATGCGCATTTGCATAAATGTCTACACACACACACATACACACTACACACAATAAAAAACATAGGAAATAGCAAGAGTGATTACAATAGTTCCTATTGCATTACATGCATAGGAACTAAAAAGTCTCGCCTAGGTAGATAAAAAACACAATGCTGAAAATAAGTGTGCGGTAGGAAAGGTATATAAACGGATGCGTCTTTGTCGTTCTCTATATCCTATTGATATATGTACTGTCGGGCTAGTAAAAAACATGATTATGATATCATTATATAAATTATAATAAAAGAATTCCGTATTATTCAAACCGTGATAAAAATGTATTACCACATTTATGGGCCTAATGACTTTGACTTATAATCAACGAATTACCGTAATAAAATTAACTTAGTCTGTATGGTATTACAGTAGTATCAGTGTGGTAATCATTCTATCGCGCTATAACAATAGTTTACGCTCAAGCTTTTTTGTTATTGCTAATCTTACATCGTTATTTAATGCAGCCCTAGGCAGTACTGTTATTCCATTTTTATGTAACTCGAAGAAGGCTTATAACTGAAAACATTTGTGTGAAATTAAACTTTTAAAAGGTGGTATTCAAGTATTGGTGTAAGCTTTCAAAGAAATATGTTTTTTATTCTCTTTTAACAAAATCCAAATAAAACTCAAAGTCTTCATACATAAAGTTGTTAAATATTTTATTTGAAGAAATAGAAGAACAGTTTTTAAAAGATGAAAAAAGTATTAGAATGTTTTCACAGCAATCTGCTAAAATGTATTCAATATAAAAGCAACAAGGTGCCCAATATTAGACCAACCAGGACTAACATGTGCGTGTGTTATCGTCGTACGGTATATTAATAGCCAAGAAGTTTCACTGGTTCATATAAAACAAAATAATTCATCATCATTGTAGTTCGAAATCTGTTCACTCAATGATATGCAAACGGGATTGCGATGGACTATTGCTCGGTCACTATTGCATACAGTAGGCTACGGCTCTTGAAGTAGGCTTAGTTGTAGACAATGTTGCTTTAAGGGCTGGAAGTGCTGGGAGCAGAACTAAAAAAATAAAATAACAAAACAACACTATATTAGTTTTAATGTCCCTGCAGTGTTATTTACGATGTAGGTATATTGTTGTTTCGAGGCTAAAGCTGTATTTTTTTTAAAGCATCATTACATTCTATTTTATTCAGTCCCTGTTGTGGACAGTTGAGAGTAGCTGGTAGCATACTACTGATTTAAGTAATCTGACTAAACCCAGATAATGACCCAGGTAACAGTATATCAGGCCCTATTCTAGAGGCTTTAGAAAGATTTCAGATGGCCATATGTACTTGTGACTTAGTTATATAGTGCCTTATGCCGAAACGGTCTCAAAGCTTGATGTGTGGACTAGCTCGTACAATAATATAGTAATAATATGTACAGTAGTACATTAATTCTTGATGATGTTCCACATATAAATAAATAAAAATGAAATAGATGCAATGAAAAGTGTGATAAATATAAGACGTTTACCTGGGAGCATCTGTCGGACAGTTACACGTTGCACACTCTGGGAGCACTGGCACTGAAGAAGAAATACAGTTAATGGAAAGTAAC